AAGTGTAGAACCACTAGACTGAGGAACAGCTTCTACCCTGAGGCTGTAGACTCTTAAATCCCTAACCAGGAAAATCACTGTAATGCCACTTTAATTGGTGATATGTGACTTATCTGTGCTGCTGATCTCATGCTGCTGATTATCCATGCTGCTGTATTCATTCATATGTGTGCACCACAGATTCGTATTGTTTTACATTATTAGTGTTTACCGTATATCTTAGATCTTTTAGCGTACCGTGTGGTGTTCGTTTAGTGTATATCTTAGAACCTTATTTACTGTTTCTATTTATACTTTATATTTTTGCTATTTTTGGGTGTAACTGGTATCCTGGGTACATACCAGTAATTTTGTTCCACCTCATGTACCACATGTGATGCGAATGACAATAAACTTGAACTTCACGTTTGAACCATGGAGGAAGGTTAGAAATTTTCTCACTAAAAGTCTTTGATGTTCCCATCATGACCTCATGTTATGGTTCCTTAGAACTGTTCCGGACCAACCCAGAACCAACTCAGAACCATTCAGAACCAACACAGAACCATTCTGGACCAACTCAGAACCGTTCTAAACTAACACAGAACCATTCTAAACCAAAACAGAACTGTTCTGGACCAACACAGAACCATTTTAAACTAACACAGAACCGTTCTGGACCAACTCAGAACCATTCTGGACCAACACAGAACCATTCTAAACCAAAACAGAACTGTTCTGGACCAACACAAAACCAACACATAACTGTTCCAGACCAACTCAGAACCGTTCTGGACCATCACAGAACCATTCTGGACCAACACAAAACAGTTCTGGACTAACTCAGAACTGTTCTGAACCAACCCAGAACTTTTTTGGACCACAGCCTACGTCACATGACTTCATCCAACCACTCCATCAGATTTATGTTCTTCTCAGCTGAATAAAAACCTGTTTGTGCAGAATACAGTGGTCCTTCCAGGCCCTGGGGTCCCTCAGTGGTCCAGACTCACCTCTGGTCCTGATGCAGCAGCAGTGGAAGCAGACAGTGAACTCAGGAGAGAGAGCTCTGCCTGATAACTGCTCTAAATTTAACAGAAACACCTCGGTGGTCACACAGCGTCCCAGCAGCTCCTTATCTCTCCTCTCCTGGCGGTTCCATGGCCATACAAGGTTCTGCCGAGCCCGGGCCATCCAGCAGCTCCTTGTCCTCGCTGGGGGGAGATAAGGACCGACGGTGATGGTGGCCCTGGAATCCTGGGTTAAGTGTTCCCTTCAAGGCTGATTTTCCACAGGGACATGGTGACATCCAGAACCTGCAGACCACAAGGTCCAGAACAAAGTTCCCCCTTCAGCACCAAAGACTTCCACATGGTGGTTCCACACAGAATAGATCCAGTCCGAGACAGTTCAGAGTAACGTGGGACACCCTTCAGGCTCAGCTGAAAATGTTCACAGTTCAGCCAAATGAAAACATCAAACAACAAAAACACGGAAACAGAATAAATTCAAACCAAGACAGAAACATAACACCAGTGATCGGATCAAACACGGGTCTTAAAGGGTCCACAGCTATGGAGCAGCAGCTGAGCAGCTCTGTGGTCCAGTTTGGATTCTGGAACAGGAACTAGTTAATGGGCCCGAGTGTTCTGACTGGACTGTAGATGTTCAAGAGATCACAATACCAAACCAGAACTTTTCCGGCTTTACAAACAAGCAGCAAAATCCTCAAATCAACCCAGAAACAAACAGGAAGTCAGAGGAGAGGAGCCTGGACCAAGTTCTGTGCTCAGGGTTTTAGTTCCTGTTTAAAGACAAGCTGCAGTGATTTAAAGAGGACGGATCCAAACCAACATACAACTGAACTGGGTCTGAGACTCAAGACTGGTTCTGGTGAACTGACCCTGTCTGATCATCAGTGATCAGTGGAAAGATGTTACATTTTCTACAAAGTAAAACTGGAGCTCAAAACCAAATTGAACAGGTTATCAGGCAGTGGGCCAAGAACAGAACCCTGAGGGACTCCACAGGTCTGAGGAGCTGCAGAGGAGGAGGCTAATCCACATCAGACCCAGGATCCTGATCCACATCAGAACCAAGATCCTGATCCACATCAGAAATCCACAACAGAATCAAGATCCTGATCCACATCAGACCCAGGATCCTGATCCACATCAGAAATCCACATCAGAACCAAGATCCTGATCCACATCAGACCCAAGATCCTCATCCACATCAGAACCAAGATCCTGATCCACATCAAAACCAGGATCCTGTTCCACAGAACCAGAACACAAAACCTGCGTAGGGTGGCTCGGTAAACATGGTGTTGAAGGTGTGTAGGTGGACCACTGAGTCTGAGGAGAGAAGAACAGGATTCAGGACAGGACAGGTAGTCCACAAACACAGCAACCTTGTTACAGCAGGACCAGGAGGAGAAGGAGGAGGGGCAGCAGGAGTGAAGGAGGAGCAGTTGAAGAAGTGAGACTTGAGTACCTGCTCATAGGTCCACAGGGGGCAGAGCCTGGTATCATATTTCCTCTGAAGCTCTGAGCTCAATGGAACTGACCACAGATGGAGTCTGGATGATCAGAGTTGGAGTCTTCATGGCATCAACTGTCTGAGAGTAGGAGCGTTCAGGAAGAACAGGGTCTGTGGAACTGTTCCACAGGTTCCACCCTGATTTGGGTCAGGTCAGAACCGCCGGGAGCAGCTGCTTGATTCTTGAATGCAGTAATGATTGGGTCAATAAGAAAAAGGATTCTGACCTGAGAGTCGTTAGTTTGGAGGGCAGAGCTTCAAGCAGAGAAGTGAGGAGCTCCCTCCTGAGAGTCCTGGATGGTTGTAGCTCAGGTCCAGTTCTGTCAGGTGGGATGGGTAGGACCTGAAAGCAGAGTCCACGGGCCTTGTGTACAAAACGTGGCGTACGCACTGAAACGTGGCGTATACGCTCCTTTTTTAGCAAAACTTCAGAAGTATGACGAATGAAATGAGCGCAGCCCCACACCAGCTTTATGGCTGGTGTACGCACGTTTCTATGGTTACTGCTGTACACACATTTGTATAGTTTCTGGTGTACGCATTTTTCTATGGTTACTGCTGTACACACATTTGTATGGTTTTTGGTCCATTGGCTACATTTATACAAAGTAGGTGATTTTAGGAAACTTAATGATGTGAAAACTATTATTGTACACACCGGTCACACATGATGAACAATTAATACAGCCACATGTATAAAATTAGAGGAGTGGTTATAAAATACCTTTAACGATAATGACTTTAGTCTTATTAGAGGATATAACAAATGGAGCGATACACAGAGAGCGTGTATTTAGAGACCGAGAGGATGATCTGGACCACGATGATGACTGGATCATCAGACGTTTTAGGCTTCCAAGGACAATCCTTTTGGAACTGTGCTTGGTGCTGCAGCTGGTCTTGGAGTGCGACAGAGTGAGGAGCCGTGCACTGCCCGTGCACATACAGCTGCTGACAACACTGGGGTTCCTATAGCAGCAGGGTCATTCCAGAGGGAGCTGGCAGGCCGATCAGGACTGAGCCAGTCCACCTTGAGCTGTGCCATGTGTGGGATGGAATGATCCGTATGCCAATCAGGAATATCAAATTCTGCACAATGCAGTGAACAGGTCAACATTAAAGCACAGTTTGCAGCGACAGACAGTTTTCCTGATGTAATCAGAGCTATGGACTGAACACACATTGCTACAGGATGAAGACGTTTATGTTAACAAGAAGCATTTTCATCCTTCCATCCATTATCTTTTACCCGCTTCTTCCATTTTGGGTCATGGGGGTCGCTGGTGTCCATGTCCAGCAATCACTGTGCGAGGGGCGGGTTACACCCTGGACAGGTCGCAAGTCCATCACAGGGCCACATAGAGACAAACAACCATCCACTCTCTCACTCACACCTAGGGACAATTTAGAATTACCAATCAGTCTAACATGCATGTTTTTGGTCTGTGTGGGGAAGCCGGAGTACCCGGAGAAAACCCACTCATGCACGGAGAGAAAATGCAAACTTGACCCAGAAGGGCCCCCGGACCGGGATTTGAGCAAGGGACCTGCTCGCTGAGAGGCAGCAGCTCTACCAGTTGCGCCACCGTGCTGCCCCATTTTCATTTAATCAATGTATAATTTATGTGATGATTAAAAAAAAACAACTAACCAACATGGTGGCAAGGTGGCCTGGTTCAACACAATTCATTCTTTCTAATGAACAGCATGGTTGGAACAGACTAAATGCTGGCATGGTGCAGGATGGGGGTCTTCTTCTTCTTCTTCTGCAGAAGGTTCTGATGGTTCCACAGGTCCTGGTTGATGTTTCTGCAGGGTTTTATGGAGGAGAAGTTAAAAAGAGTCTTCACTTCCTGTTTGAAAGCTCAGATTCAGTGGAGGTCAATGGGAGTTCGGGTGTGTGGCCTCCGACCTTTGAGGGGATTAGAGTCCAAAGTCCCAAGTCTGAACTGGTACAGTCGGGTCTTCAGTGTAAAGTTGCTGTAAATGGATCCAGTTAGCATCAGCTGACAGAAGAAACACATCAGTGAGAATCATTTTCATGTGTTCTGCTTTTTTCAGCCGTTTAAAAATGATGACGAGGACTCAGCGCTTACTCCGAATCCTGTGAAAAGATGAAAGTGACGGAAGACTTCCCACCAGCGGTTCCTGCAGCGTTCATGGCTGACATATTTAATAACTGAATTAATTCATTTAACGTGAAGAGAAAGATGTTTCTGCATCCAGCTTCTGAACAGATGAGCTGCAAACAGATGATTTTATTGATCAGCTGCAGAGTTCATCTGATAAAACAAGCAGCTCAGTATGAAGAAGAACCAAAAGGTCTATTCAGCCTCATGCCTTCATCAGTGACCGAGGGCGGGTGATCGGCATTCAGAGCTGGTGTCATCCTGGAACACATGAAAAGTGACAACTAAAGGTGCACCTGCTTAATTTTCGGACTGGACCAACTGAAGGACACCTGCTTAGTTTTTGGACTAGACCGGTTTATGAAGAACCGGAAGTACTTTTTGTAAAGGTTGTCTCCACGGTAGAATCTGAACTTGTAAAAACTTTTCAATAAAAATGTTAAATTTTAGGTTTTTAAGTCTGAACCACCTGTTTCACCTGGACTCTCTGGAGCCGCAGGCAGCCGCGGCGCGGTGCATGCTGGGAGGAGCTGGAGCAGGTTTGTAGTAGGAGAGCAGCCGGCGGTTTCCAGCGTCACCTCCAACCGTCCCGCACGGTCCGGCCGGTCGAACCCGACCACCCGAGGACCGCGCTGTCTTTAGCCGAGCCATGGACGTCCGCGGCCGGCGTTTCGCGGTGAGTTAGGCCGGTTCTCCGGGTCAGACGGAGCTGGCTTATGTGGCTAAAGCTGCAGCTAGCTCTGGGTCAGGTTGTTGTCGTTGGGTTAGCTTCTGTCCTGCAGGTGTCTGCTGCCTAATGGAGCTGGACACGTCTCAGTTACCACTGTGTGGTTATTAGGAACACCAGAACTGGGTCAGTAACGTGAGTTTGTCACGGCTTTCGGACAGTTTGTTTCTTCACTCCTCAGGCTAAGCTAAGCTAGCTGTCAGGTAGCTAGGTGCCCCGGCCTGTTAGCTTAACGAGCCTCCCTCAGCTGAAGTTCAGCTTGGTGTCCTGACTCCAACCTAAAACAAACTGTTTATTGCTTGAAATGACCTCAACTGATTTATCTGCGCTGTTAGCTTCCTGTTGGACAGGTCAGGTGAGGAAGTGGAGTGCTAACTTTGTGTAGCCTCCAGGTGAGCTCGTTTTACTGAAGCTGTTTACTGTCATTTAAAACCTGCCAGGTTCGGCTCAGGTGTGCTCAGAGAGGCTGCAGGTGGGTTTCATGTTCGGTCCTGACTCTGATCTCAGGTCAGTTTGGGCTCAGGGATTAACATGACGGATGCTTCCTGTTTGTTAAACTGGTTCCTCTGGACCTGCAGGTTTCCAGTCCAGCTCGGCAGGCTCAGTGCACCTGCCCACAGATGTTGTGGCTCCTCCTCCTGTCAGGAGTAGGTTAATTTTTTCTAATCGCTGTGAACAGATCGGGCTCATTAAAAACATCACATGAACAGTTTGTTGGGTCAGAACACACTGATGCAGGTTCTGATGTTCTGTTTGTTTATCTCAGCGTTCTGCCTGTAGGTCCATTCACTGGCTCTAATCAGTTCCTGTCTCTGTTTCCCAGGTGTAGCCCGGACCAGCCAGCACAGAACCATGGAGCCAGACGTGATCCGCATGTACTCTGCCTCGCCCCCGCCAATGGAGGATGGTGCCGAGGAAGAGGATGAAGAGTTTGGAGACTTCGGTACCTTCTCCAGTGTCCCGAACAGCACCAGCTTGTCGGAGTTTGAAACCCCGACAACGTTCAACCAAACCCAGGCTCTGACCGCCACCTCACCCCCCGAGCTGCTCGCCAGCAGGGGGATGGTGGATTTCAGCCGCGGCACCTCCAATGGCATCTGCACCCCCGGGAACGAGCTGTCCAAGGCTAACGGCGTCGGGCCGATGAGCCACCCGGACAGTTCAGACAGAACTGAGTCCAGGAAACTGGTCTCCTGCTCGTTGGACTTGTCTGTGAGCAGCGAGCCCGCCAAGTGTAATGGTGGAGACACGGAGGTGCTGACGAACGGCTTCTTAACCTTTGACCTTCAGGGAAGCCCCTCCTCACAGAATTCTGTCCACTCTCAAATAGAAGGACTGTCCAGTGAGGAGACGGGCAGCATCCCTGTTGGCAGCTCAGAGGATGAGTTTGCAGACTTTTCTGCTTTTTCCAACACTGAAGGACACCTGACAGCACAGAACGATGGTCCCACGGCACATCCCCTGCCGCTGGAGTCTGCCGTCCACAATCAGGGAACAGAGGACACAGTCAGGGACACAAACAGGACTAGAGCTGAGACGTTGGACGGCTCTGGTACTACTGACTCACTCCAAAGGGATGGAGCCTTCACAGCGGAGCGCTCACAGACTGATGGCACTAAAGACGGTCCGGTTCTGATGGACAAGTCCAAAGAGACAGTACGGGGCGGAGAAACCGACATTTCATCTGACTCGGCTGCAGACAGTGAGGTGGCACAGATGGATGAGAAGAGCTCTGAGACGGAGACAGAGACATCGTTTGGCCGTCCTCTGTCAACTGAAGCCCTGGAGGAGTACGGTGACACGAGCCTCACCGGATCGGTGCCGTCTCTGCCCCCCCAAGGAGACACATCCTCCCCCGCAGACGAGGATGAAGACTTTGGAGACTTCGGCGACACCGGCTCGTTCGTGGGTCAAGACTTTTCAGGTTTTGAGGTCCAGCAGGATCAGAACCCTCTGCAGGGTTCCGGTCCTGCACAGGAAGTGATCGACATGGAGCAGGAGGAAGACTTCGGAGACTTCAGCTCCCCCAGACTTAACTCCGGTGGAGACGAGTTGGAGGACCGGGGACAGTTTCCTGCCAGTGACAGTTTTGGTAACTTCAGCTCGGCCGCAGGCGGCGAGGACGGCTCCGGGTGGAGCGCCTTTGGGGAGCAGCACGAGACGGAGGGGGATTCCTGGGCGGCATTCAGCACAGAGCTGAGTGCTGCTCCTCCTGCAGAGGAGGAGGAACATGAGGAGGAGGAGGAGTGGCATGAAGGAGCAAGTCCTGCTGTCAGCGAGCACATGGACAAGACAGAAGGGCAGACGGTAAGAACCAGAGAACAAACTTTTATTTATCTTCCTGCTCCTCCTCTCAGCTGCTCCTTCAGGGGCTTCACGGTGGATCATCTGTCTTCATGTCCCTCCTCTGTCCCACTAACCCTCTGCAGATCCACATGGATCTGATTCCTCCATGAATCCAATCTTCTCCCTGGATCTCATCCAGAGTTTAGTCACATGATTCAGCAGAGCAGATGGCTCTGGAGAAGCCCAGTTCATTTTGGGTTGAACAGGAAAAGTTTCAGGTTAAACGCAGCTGAAAGCACTTCCTGATGCTCATCAGAATCAGGAACAGAACCTTGCTGTTCTGATGAGCGGTTCAGACAGATATTCCTGTGAGTGGATCAATAGGTCCAGATTTTAACAGTTTAAATCCTGTTCAGACAAAGGAACAGTTTTACTGCTGAAGATAAATTATTTAATGTGTTTATAAAAACATGAGTTTGTCTCAATGTGAAGGAAACTCCAGAGGGACAGGACTGATAGGTTTATTTTAAAGGCAATGTTTAAATCACTTCCTGTCTTCTCTTAAGTTTTCATTGATTTCCCTCATTTTTTACATCAAACCACGGCACAGGGAAGCAGTGGTTAGAGCTGTCGCCTCACAGCGAGAAGATCATAGGTTCTCCTCCTGGCCTTTCTTTGTGAAGTTCACATGTTCTCCCCATGCCGAGTTCCTCCACAAACCAAAAGCCTCCATGGTGGGTTCATCATTAACTAAAATGTCCCAAGGCGAGGGGGTGAAAGTTGTTTTCCAGGCGTCTCTGTGGTGGACTGGGGACGGGTCCAGGTGTCCCTGTGGTGGTCTGGGGACGGGTCCAGAAGTCCCTTGCCTCTCACACTGCTGGAGACAGATCCCAGCTTCTGAAGAGAAGTAGGTATGTTAGCTGATCAGGCTACGCCCACTGGAGTTGCCTGATAGAAGCTCCTGAAGGCGGTCAGTCAGATAATAATAAAATGTTATGTGTTGTCATCATTGTATGTTTCCATACAATGATGAAATTGGCTCTCTGCATTTAACCCATCCACCCCCAGGTGGTGCAGTGGGCAGCTATTGAAAGTGTCCGGGGAGCAATTGGGGATAAGGTGTCCTGCTCAGAGACACCATGAGATGTGCAATGACTGGGGATCAAACCTGGGACTTTCGAGTCCCGAGTCGGCTGCATCAGGGGTTCAGACATCCGTCTGACTGCAGGAAACATTCCTGTCTTTCATTCAGAACCGGTCCAACTGTGAAAACGGGACCAGCAAAGGGTGTTCTCAGGTGAAGAGGTTTTGACTGTGTTCTGGAGGCCCGGTTGATAGAGGTGGTTAACGAGCTGCTGCTGCGGTCTCTGCAGGCGTTGCTGTCCAGCCGTTTGGAGAAGCTGTTCCACTGCAGCTTCCCTCAGAGTTCCGTCCAGAACCAGCAGGCAGAGGACCGAAACCGAGTGGTGACTCTGAAGGTTCTGCTGGAGCCTGCAGAGGACGGAGCAAAGCCCGAAGAGGAGAGATCACCATGCAGCCGGTGAGTTTGTGTCAAAACATCAGACTTTATCCAGTGTTTACCCTAGTTTACTTGCCTTGGCAGCATGCTCATATCTTCTGTGATTTTTGTCAACGGGGGGTGGGGAGTGGAGATGGAGACACATCTGTGTTGTGCGCTGTTTTCGAGTGGGGGTTGGGGGTGGTCAGTAGGCAGGGTGCTCGGTTCTGTTGACAGGGTGGGGCACCCTGCTTGTATAATGGTAGGGTAAACACAGCTTTATCCCTCACAAGCTTAGGTTCTGATCTGAGACAGACTGGTCCAGGCGTTTGAGCTGAAACGGTTCTGATGGACTACCCGGTCTCCGCCTCTTACTTTGTCTTGGTTCTGATTGGTTGCTACAGGTTGGCGCTCGGCGCTGTGTTGCTGCGGCTTCAGGACGTCCACGAGGCGGTGGGTCTCAGGTACCAGTGGGGGGGCTCGCACTGCAACAAAGCGCTTCTCTGCTGCCTGGGCATCGACACCAGAAACATTGTAAGTCCCAGCTGGACCCAGATTCTGTTCAGACCCGATATCCAACAGTTGGTGTCGTCCGAGGGACCAACCTGGGCCTCTTTGTGTTCTCTGTCCTTTAGCTCTTCACGGGTCAGAAGAAGCAGCCGGTGATCGTCCCCATGTACGCTGCCGGCCTGGTGAGTTCACGTCCTAACATGGTCCTGATCCGTGCACGCACGGTACAGTCGGTGCACGTGATGGTGCTGGCTGAGCCGCTGCAGTAACCGACTCATCGGTTCTTTCAGGGGATGCTGGAACCGACCAAAGAGCCCGTGAAGCCCGTCTCTGCAGCCGAGATGATTGCCTCCATTGCCCAGACGCCTCCTGCAGCGCCGGAGAAAAGCTCCTGTCACTCAGACTCTGTCCAGGTGGGACATCAGGCGGTCCACAACCAATCAGAGCCGGTGCGATCCAATCAGAACCTGTCTGAGCTGTGTTGAGAGCAAAACTCTGTTTGACCTCCTCTGTTCTCTCAGCAGGAGGCGCTCCCTCCCATCCAGTTCGACTGGAGCAGCAGTGGCCTTACCAATCCTCTGGACGGTAGGTGACCTCTGACCCCTCGTTCATTGTACACTAAATGATTTGGTGTGTGGGTAACACGGCGAGCGTTACTCTGAAAGTCTGGTTCTGGTTTTAATAAGATGAAGTCTGCGTGGACACAAAGTAAGAAACAGTTTTTAAAATGACTTCATGTTCAGATTTAATCAAGTTTAGAAACATCTTAAAGAAACGCCCATGTTTCCTGTTTCTGACTCATCAGAACATTTCAGCTTCTGTGAGGAGCTGATGGTACCAAACTGGGCCCGTCAACCAGTTTAAAGTACAAATGGACCCTTTCTTTAAACTCTGTTCCATAGTGAAGCATGGTGGCTGCAGCATCATGATGTGGGGAAGAGCATAGACTTGTTTCCATCTGTTCCAAACCTTTACTGCGTCTTAAGGTTCTGTTGGACACAGTGCATTGTGATTGGACAGCACCTCCTAGTGTTGACTCCTCCATCAGGGGGCGGGGCTAATTTTGGGGAGTTTCTGTTTAAAGTGCTACTGGAAGAAAACATCTTAACATTAGGAAGTTCAGTTTTACCCACTTAGTCACAAAACTGGAATATTTTATTTGGAATTTTGTGCAGCCAAAGTGAAACAGGAAGTAACATCAGAGGAGAACTTCTTGGTCTTTGATTGAAACTATCTGATTTGAACTATGACTCATCAGATTCTTCTCTGCTGTCTTATGTAGCAATGCTGTTCCCCTTTGACATCACTTCCTGTTACCAACATCACTTCCTGTTACTGTGCATGTGAATACCTCAGCAGCACGTTATGAATGCAATCTTTTCATAATTGCATTCATATTTATACTTCTTTTATTTTATTTTTTACGTCTCCTGCACTTTAAAGGCACTAACCGGGCCGTTCATGCAGACGTCTGTTACTAACCTGAACTCTGCTGCATCACCTCTCCTTTCTCTCTTTCTTTGTTAACCTCGCTCGTCCAGCCAGCGGAGGCTCGGCTCTGTTGAACCTGGACTTCTTTGGTCCTGTGGAAGATTCTGGTTCCGGCAGCTCGGCCTCCATCCCAGGTCAGCAGCGGTCCGCTCGGAGCAGCATGTTTGTTACATTTGAAGCAGATGGGTTTTAATCGGCCGTTTGATTATTCGTTCTGATAAGCAGCTCCTGCCTGAAGCGCTATTTTCTCTAAAGTCCAACAGCAGAACCAGAACTTTGTTGTAAAACAGATTTAAACAGTTATCAGAGATCTGGACTTGGATCAGAACCGGGTTCATACACACAAACAAAGCAGGAAGACGGAGCGGTTCTTATCCAACAGACCAGCAGCTTCTGGATGAAGCTTCAGTTTGGTTCTGAATCAGGGTGGAACATTAAGTTTTGGTTTTGGTTCAGGTGTGGACCCGGAGCTGTTTGAGCTGACCACAGCCAAACTGGACCCAGGAGGCACCGGCAGCCGTGTGGCCGACGCCTTCGCCCGCCTCATGTCCACCATGGACAAGACCAGCACGTCCACCAGGTGGGTGAGTGGGCTGGATGTCCTGCTGTTGCTGCCAAACGATTCTGAGGTCCGTTTGTCTCTTGTGTCCAACAGGAAGCTGAGGAAGGACGAGAATCTGAGCGAAGAAGCGGCTAAGGTCATCGCGGCGCTGCCAGATCTTTCTTTCATGCAGGCCAAGGTTCTGATGTTTCCTGCCACGCTGACGCCGCTCAACTCGCAGGTCGCTGCTGACTGAAGCTCCGCCCCATCACCTCCCCTGGCCCCTCCCACCTGAACCTTATTTTCCTGACTGCATTAGTTCGTTGTTCAGATGTTTTAAGGTTGTTTTTTTTTTTCCCCCATTTACCTTTCAAAATAAAATAAGCATTTATAGTGGGAGGGGGGAAGCTGAAAAGCTCCTTTTATTTTGGTGGGATTATGAAGGAAACACTGACTGAAGCTTTTCAGTCCAACTGCAGTGGGTCGTGTATAAATCTATAAAATACGTTTATATTTAGAGTTTATAAATCTTATTTATGGACTGAAACCACACTGCCTGCAAAATCCAGCTGAATGTCCGTCCCCTCGTCTTCTGAGGCCTTAGTTCTCTCTGGGTTCTGTCCACTTCTGTCCGGCTCTACAGGACTTCCTTTAAACCCACGTCTTTGTCTCTTTAGTTCTGTCGTCTCCTTCCTGACGTTTTCGGGGTAAAAACGGGACATTTGGGTTGAAATCGCTGCAGCGTCTCATCAGAAGGGACTTTAGGGACCAACGGGTGTCTCCTCCTGTCTTGTCCTGCTGTCTCCAGGAGGATTTTGCACATTGTAAAGATGAAATGGATGTAATGGTAGTTCACTGTGGCTTTAGACTGTGTACAGGTCAACTATGGGCTGGAGGCATTCCCATGGAAACCAGCTGGAGAGCCTCAGGTTTCTGTCCCACTTCAGACCACGAGTGTAAATTTTAGAGTTCACAAGAAAATTAAAATAATTTAAGAAGAAAACTCGTCTCCGTCCTGTTTGTGTCCCCGAGTCAGATTTCAGGTCCAAATGCTGGTTCTGCTCCGAGGTGGAGAGAAAATAAACCACCAAATGTAAACTGATGTTTTGATGCGATCTAGAGTTCTGTTTCATGTGTTTTTTAACCCACATCAATAAAAATATTCTTTACGGAACCGTCGGATCCGGTACTCGGACGGATCATCTCCAGTCTGTGAAGAACACACAACTCTATAAATATTCTTTACAGGTACCAAACCTACCTGAGAACCCGAGACCAGATCGGTCCGATCCGGTAAAATAAAATTGAGCCTTGCTGCTTCTTTCTGTTGAGCTGAACATAACACCCCACCCCCACTGTATGTGAAAAACGTTTAAAAGGTCTGTAAAACCTACAGATGATTTTATTAAACTTTTACTAATCTGAACCCAAAATTGCTAAAAATTAGCTGTTGGGTAAAGAAGAGCCAATTTAAATTCAACAAATTTAGACTTTAAACTTTCATAAAGTGACGACTGCCAACCAACGAGTGTTTTTACCTCCAGAAACAGCCGAAGTATTTCAGAAAACATAACTCAAGTCTCGGACATCAGAAACGAACAAAAGAAACACCTGCCCTTACCCATCTCTTGCCTTCTCTCACCCGTCTCCCTCTGCCTGCTCTCACCTGTCTTTCCACCCTGCCCTCACCTGTCTCTCCTCCTCTGCCTGCTCTCACCTCTCTCCAACCTGCCCTCATCTGTCTCTCCTCCCTGCCCTCACCTGTCTCACAGAGGTGGACGTTCTCTGTGGAGCATACACAGAAGAGGCAGAGTCGAGCTCTTATCAAAGATCTCCTTCATTCTTTAATAGACATTGTGCCACAAAATGTCACGTCTGCAGTAACCAATCACGTGCCGACCTCCTCCTTCTCGTCGTTCTTCTTCTGTATAAATATTTACAGTTTATAAACTCGGAGCTGGGCTTCCCCACACCGCTTGAACGCACCGCAGGAAGGAGCCCGGCAGCGTGCACGCACACAGGAATGTTGTCACGGTGCAGGGTGGATGTGGGAGGGGGCAGCGGTTTCTCCTACCATGAAGGCACGTGGGCTGAGTGGGCGGAGCCAGCTGACGTGCTCGCTGCCGGTTCGAGTCGTGCTGCTCTGCACGGCTCGACGGGAGTGCAGAGCAGAACGGACCAATCAGACTTCTCTTCTGGTAAAAACGCTGTCATGTGACAGGGAGGGGCGGGGCTTATGGCCTGCTGCTGACTGATGAAAGACCCTCAGAGTCTCCTCTGGCCTTTCTGTCTGTCCCTCTGGAGCTGGGGAGGCTGGTTCTGGGCTGAGGGTGTTCAGGATGTGGACTGGGGTAAGGTGGGTTGGAGGTGTGTGTGTGTGTGTGTGTGTAGGAGTTTGGGGGGGGGGGGGGGGTCAGAGGCTGGTCTTGGCCCCCAGCAGCAGCCTCTGGATGAGGTGTAGACCAGCTGGTTGGAACTGGATGGAGGCTGGTTTTGAGCTGAGGGGGTTCAGGGATGTGGACTGGGGGTCAGGTTAGGTGGGGGGTGGTTTGAGGCTGGTCTCAGCCCTCAGCAGCAGCCTCCAGATGAAGTGTTAACCGGTTTGCTCTGAATCTTGACGTTGGACTTCTCAGCAGCGCCGGCCGTGGCTCCGGGGCCCATCCTCTTCTTGATCTCGGCTGCCATCGTCATGAAGGCCTGCTCCACGTTGGTGGCGCTCTTCGCACTCGTCTCCAGGAACGGGATCCCCAGGTTGTCTGCGAACTCCTGCAGGGGAGACGAGACGGGACATTCTGCTTAGAGCGTATAAGCAGTAAGTATCTTACCTGCTGCAAATGGCTAACTGTTTTATCTTAACATTAGCAGGATCATAATCAGAAGTCACCCTGACACACACTTCTATAAATCACAGATGCACTCTGGTCCTTTTCAGACTAGCCAGTAGCTCATCAGTTCAGTCAGAATCAAATGATTTCTTCAAACTGAAAATATTCATAGAGCTACCTGCAACAGGTAAGATATTTATGAGCAAAGTTCCATTTAATCAGTTGAATGCAGAATGAAGTCCCTTTTCTTCTTCTTTTTCCTTCACAGCTCTCAGAACGTTCTCCAGATGTTCTGCAGGTGAACTATTAGAGGACTTAGAACATTACACAGTAACTCTGGATGTTTTAGTTTCAACCAGAGAAACTGGATCAGATATTCTGCAGCGACAAACAAAACTGATGTGAAAACGCTCAGGAACAAAAACTGGACCAGAGAGACCGTCAGAGGGTCTGGAGAACTGATCCAGAACCACTTTTAACAGATACCAGGAATGTCTGGATCCTTGGAAGAAAAAAAAAAAACCCATACTGAGCTAAGGACTGGATTTGAGGTTCTGGTCAGTGGTTCTGGGTGGGGTTTAAACATGAACCTGGCTGATAATTTCCTGCCCTTTCAGACAGGAAGTGGATTCTGTGAACGACAAACAAAAACCAGTGGAATCAGACTCTGGCACGTTTCTCAGACCATGGGTCCTGGTACCTTGGCTGTGGTGTAGTCCACGACCTTCTTGGTGGTCAGATCACACTTGTTTCCTACGAGCAGCTTGTTAACGTTCTCGCTGGCGTAGCGGTCGATCTCCTGCAGCCACTGCTTCACGTTGTTGAAGGACTCCTGAGGACGAACCCAAACAGGAAGTTCAAATCACAGAAGAAGAAAATCATGATGTTTATCCAAAACACAAACAGAAATATTTGTTCATTTTGCAGAACTCACTGAGTTTTAATTGTTACATCTAATTAAGAGAAGTCAAAGACCAAATTAATCATTTAGCATGAATGCTAACATGGAAGAGCTAACAGGATTAGCTTTGTGTTTACACGTGTTCTTTAGTACAGGAGCTACGGCAGCTCAACTGGGACAAACGGCAGCGAGCTACCCCTGCGCTGACTCAAAGCGGTAGCACATTCCCTGAATCCATTTTTAACATTTATTTTAGAATGATTTCAGTCCACCGTGAATCTAAAAACAGACTAAAGCCCCGCCCACACCGCATTCTGTGCATAAGAACAGAAATTCAGATTGTTGTATTTGACAGTGAGGCCAACAGAAACATGATTACTGCCAGAGATGAGTCAGCAAAAGGAATGCCTATTGCCCGCTGTGCCATTTAAAGACCACTGAGCCCTCAAAGCGTGTATAGGGATGACTCTCAGCTAAGGCTGGGCGATGTATCAAATATACTTGATGCACCACAAGTTTTTCAATTTACGATGGTTAAAATGGCTCTATCGCAACAAATAATAATAATAATAATAATAATTCAAATAATATTTCGGCCACAGTGTTATTCATCTGACACGCTACGAATGCATCACTAATCCCTGCCCCCGCCCAACCTAAAAAAATTTTGCCGGACATGTTGTGCGGAGCATGCACATATAGACTTTGAGGTGGGGAAAAAAATATGACGACAGCGGGAGATTCAGGTGAGCGGGTGAATGTGAAGGTAACTGAAGAGGAGTCCGATGAACTAGTTCCGAAGAGAAACAGCACTGGATCAATAATCTGGCAGTATTTTGGATTTTATAAGGAGGATGTCGAACAAAATGTGGTCATTTGCAAAACGTGTCATAAAACCATTGCCACAAAAGGTAGTAGTACCACTAATTATTTCACCACCTAAGAAGTCATCCACTGCAAAATGAAGAATGTTGTAATTGTAAACTCTGTATAAGAAAATGTTTAATAAACCAGCTGTGAAGCAGATGACACTAAATAAATTTATTCTGATTTTGCATTCAAATTTAAAAAAAAACATGAATGGTCTGTTTGAATAGAGTACACCAGTTCCATTTTACATACTAAATAGTTTAAAATAGCATATAGTTTAAAATTAGTTGGCTGAGGTCAATTAATGGTGGTGGCCATATTGAATTGGGTCTCTTCCAGAACTCGTTCAGCAGGTTTAACTGAACTGAGCCGTCATTTCATTCTGCAGTGATCCAACAGAACCGCTGAACAGGTAAACAGTGCTTTCCGTGTACACATGGCTTATATTTTGCTGAAAGACAGGTGATTCATTGAGCCCTCCCCTTCATGATGGTAAACAGAGAGGTCAAAGGTCACCGACCTGATCCGTCACATCATAAACCACGATGATGCCGTGAGCGCCTCTGTAGTAACTGGACGTGATGGTCCGGAACCTCTCCTGGCCGGCAGTGTCCCACTGAGGACGCACAACACAAACCATCACTTTACAACACTCACAAGCCCCGCCCCCAGACCGTGGACACTTCCTCTTACAATCTGCAGCTTGATGGTCTTCCCGTCCAGCTCGATGGTTCTGATCTTGAAGTCCACGCCGATGGTGCTGATGTAGCTCTCTGTGTATGTGTCGTCCTGAGGTCAAACACATCGACAGGTGAGTGACACACCTGCATCCAGTCAGCTGTCAGAACTCTGATCCTAAAGCTGCTCCATTCTCTGCAAGAGCCCAGAACTGTGTTCTGAAAGCTGTCGTCTTTTTCTTTCTGCTTGGAGCTCCTGCAGCTGTTTTTTGACCCAGAACCTTCAGAACCTAAATTCTCCTCTGGTGTCAGACAGCTTCCATGCGATTGGTCAGACATTTAAAGTGGGTGGGGTTAATGTGCACAGATGCTGATAACCTGCGCCCAGGACCTCTGCACTTATGTTTCTGGTGAAGTAAAATATGTTTTGACCAGAGCCATCTTTGTTCTGGTCCTCACCACCTTCAGAAAAACTGTTTTCTGGGTTCTTGCAGAATTTGGACTGACCTTGACTCAAACTTACTGCAAAGCGAAGGAGGAGGCAGGATTTTCCCACGCCGGAGTCTCCGATCAACAGCAGCTTGAATAAGTAATCACTGAGAGGGAAACAAAACTGGATCAATAACCGATACTTGTTCTGTGGACGTTCTGAATCAGTCTGCTGAGGGTTTGAAAGAGTGGGTATGACGTGAATGGAGGTGGGTATGATATGGTGGAGGTGGTACGATGTGGGTATGTACAATATGAATGTATGTGGATATGATGTGAATGGGGTGGTTACGATGCTAGTGGGTACAATGTCATTGGGTACCATGTGGCGGAGGTGGTATATGTGGATGGGTACAATGTGAATGGATGTGGGTACGATGTCTGTGGCGATGGGTAAGATGGTGGTGGTGGGTACGTACAATGTGAAATGATGTAGATATGATGCTAATGGAGGTGAGTACAATATTGATGGGGTGGGTACAATGGGGTTAAGTTGGGTTAAGTGTTGGTGGGTTCCATGTCCGAGTATGATGTGGGTACAAATTTATTATTGACGATTTTGCTCATTGTCGTAGTTTATTTACAATCTTCAAAACATGTAAACCTATCTTTATTTCAGGTCTAGAACTGCAGTTGGAGGTTTTATTAACACGTCTTTACCTTCCTCGGGTGTTCTAATGCAGATTAATCTCAGATTATTCACTTTAATGATCACTAATCAAGAAACTCTAAACACACTTCCTGTTTGTGGCTCAGCCGAACCGAGGCCAAGTATCAGGGAGTAACTGAACCGTCAGAGAGTAACTGGACACAGTAACTGGAGGGTCAGAGAGTAACTAAACAGAGTAACTGGACCGTCAGAGTGTAACTGATGAGTAACTGGACCGTCAGAGACCAACTGGACCGTCAGAGTGTAACTGAAGAGTAACTGGACCGTCAGAGTGTAACTGAAGAGTAACTGGACCGTCAGAGAGTAACTGGACCGTCAGAGTAACTGAACAAAGTAACTGGACTATCAGAGTAACTAAACCCTCACACAGTAACAGATCCATCAGAGAGTAACGAAACCATCAGAGTAACTGAACTATCAGAGTAAATAAACCGTCTGAGAGTAACTACACAGTTGGGGTAACTGTTAGCTAGCAGCGCTAACAGTGAGTGAGCCAACAAACGTCACGTAACAAAATGTGGTTTCCTTGTGGACTTTCTCGGTGTTTTATTGTATCAGAACCCGCTGACCGGAGTTACAACCGCCGAACCCACCGGCTGTTAGCAAAATGTCCGTCCAGCTGTCAGCTTTCCGGCTGAACGCCGAAGAGAAAGCCGCTGACGCGCCGCCCGGTAGCTCGGAGCTAGCTTCCCCGGCTGGGCTGACAGCTGAACCGGACCTGACACCATCAGTCCCGCCCGAACCGACACTTACTATTCCGGATTCATGGTTGGCTCCTGCGTGTGATGTGTGCTCGCTGCTGGCTGGATCTCTGCCGGGCCTCGGTCACTTACAGGCGGCTTTTTCCGTCAAGAACTAAAGTGGCAGAACAGGGTAATCGAATCAAATATGGCCGCTAGACTACAACCTACCCGGAAATTCCAGGCGCTGGCACTCATGGGTATTGTAGTTTTATAATAATGGGCGTTTGCTCTGAGTACAGACCTGGACCTGGTTGGTTCAGATTCAGAACCAGAACCTTCTCATGAAGCAAAATAAAAAATATCTAATAAAACACACAACAGGGGTATACACTGAATAAAAAAAACAACAACTTGCATTAAATTTATTAAAGATATTCAAAGGCACCCTGGCATCTCATGACCACAACAGATTTTTTTAAAAGTAATAATTAAATACAATTACCTTCTGAGGTCAACCCTGCTTAAGATGGCTGCCACATCTAATGAACAGTTCTAATGAACTGAAAAAAGAATGAACTCAGTCAGTTTTCTTTCATTTAGGAGTTCATTTACTTGATAAACGACTCTAGGGCAGCTGGAGAAAGTTTACTGGAGGCAGCAGGCAGAAAGGTTTTCTAAAATCTGAAGATACGCTTGGTCCACAGGTCTGTGGTCAGTCTCTGTCAGTCCTGCTCAGAAAACCCACTAGGACTGCAGTCATGAGTCAGCTGCAGAGTCACGAGTCAACTGCAGGGTCACCAGTCAACTGCAGAGTCAGAGTCAACTGTAGGGTCATGAGTCAGCAGCAGGGTCACGAGTCGGCTGCAGAGTCACGAGTCAACTGCAAGGTCATGAGTCAGCTGCAAAGTCACGAGTCGTCTGCAGAATCACGAGTCAATTGCAAGGTCACAAATCAACTGCAGGATCACAAGTCATCTGCAGGGTCACAAGTCAACTGCAGAGTCACGAGTCAACTGTAGGGTCACGAGTCAACTGCAGGGTCACAAGTCAACTGCAGGGTCACAAGTCAACTGCAGGGTCACAAGTCAACTGCAGGGTCACAAGTCATCTGCAGAGTCACGAGTCGTCTGCAGGGTCATGAGTCAACTGCAAGGTCACGAGTCATATGCAGAGTCACGAGTTGTCTGCAGGGTCATGAGTCAATTGCAAGGTCATGAGTCAACTGCAAGGTCACGAGTCATCTGCAGAGTCACGAGTTGTCTGCAGGGTCATGAGTCAGCTACAGTGTCACGAATAATCTGCTGAGTCACGAGTTGTCTGCAAGGTCACGAATCAACTGTGGGATCATGAGTCAACTGCAAGGTCACGAGTCAGCTGCAGGGTCACGAGCCGTCTGCAGGGTCACGAGTCAACTGAAATGTCACGAGTCATCTGCAGGGTCATGAGTCAACTGCAAGGTCACGAGTCATATGCAGAGTCACGAGTTGTCTGCAGGGTCACGAGTCAACTGCAGGGTCATGAGTCAATTGAAATGTCACGAGTCATCTGCAGAGTCAAATGTCAACTGCAAGGTCACGAATCATCTGCAAGGTCACAAATCAACTGAAAGGTCACGAGTGAACTGAAAGATCACGAGTCGTCTGCCGAGTCATGACGCATTTGCAGGGTCACAAGTCATCTGCAGTGTCACGAGTCAACTGCAGGGCAACGAGTCAACTGAAACAAACAACTAGAAAATATTTTCTTGTTAATTTCAAATGTCAATCACCTGACAGATAGGAGCAATGAATAATAATAATCATAGACAAAAAGAGTAAAATGGTAAAGAGCCCCATGTGCTTCACCCGGAGTGAAGTTCTGTTTTCAGGAAAACTGTGTCCATAAAACCCAGAAGATCCTGAAACATATCTTTCTGAAATAATTTACATTAAAAAATATACTTTCAAACTGTCCATTAAGTTCACTTTAAAACATTTTGACATTAAGTTTATTTGTCTCTTTTACATGCATCATTTTAAAAACAATAAAAAAATAGAACTGAAAATTGTCCAACAGAAACAGAACATCAAATATTCATTTATAAACTCGTTTCATCCAAACCAATATCAGTAAAAATGTCAAATAGGTATAAAAAGAGAAATGGCACCTTCGTTTTTTATTATTCTGTGAAATAAAGAGGAGGAGGGCAGAAGGAGGATAACGAAGAAAAGGAGGAAGAAGAGGATGAGAGAAAGAGAACATGAGGAAGAGGATGGGAGGAAGAGGAGGTCAAGAGGAGGAGGAGGACAGGACAAAGAGAAGGACGGGCGAAAGAAGAGAACAGGAGGAGGAAGAGGACTGGAGGAGGAGGAGGACAGCAGGAAGAGAAGGACAGGAAAAAGAGGAGATCAGGAGGACGAGAGGAGAATAGAAGGAAGAGGAGGACAGGAAAAACAGAAGGACAGTCACAGGACAAATAGGAGAACAGGAGGACAGCAGGAAGAGAAGGACAGGAAAAAGAGGAGAAGGACGAGAGGAGAAGAGAAGGAAGAGGACAGGAAAAACAGAAGGAGGACAGTCACAGGACAAATAGGAGAACAGGAGGACAGCAGGAAGAGAAGGACTGGACGAATAAGAAAACAAGGGGACAGGAGGAGGACATGATGAAGAGTTAGATTCAGGCACTTCCTTTAACAGACCACGACATAATTAACATTTAGCTCATCTCCCTCAAACATTTGGTTCTGGTGTGTTTCTGTGGGATGTCGGATCAGCACATGGACCGGGTCGTAACAGAACCAGATCCTGCTGCTCTTCCATTACTCTTTAAATCTCAGATGATTGGACCTGACCAGGTGGAGCTCTTCTCATTTAGGCTGATTGTTTCACATCTCTGTTGGTTTTGGCAGCTTCATACATGTAAAATACTAAGAACATTCAAACCTGAACAGAATTTCAAACGTCCAATCTGCAGAAAACAAAATTAAACCCGTAGTACAAAACACAAACCAGCAGTTTGAACGCTTTCAGTGAAACATGAGAGCCGTTTAGTTTGACACACAAGATTTTGATTATGACTTCAAGTCCTCATTTTATGTTTTTGTGGTTTTGTTAAATAAAACAAGGCCAACAGAGTGGAGGACCATTAAACTGAACTGCTAACATGTAAAAACGTCCAACTTCCAGCGGGTGTGTTAGCCAAACAAGAGCTAAAAAACAATAAACAAGCTTTAAAAAATAAAGATGCAACCTAGCATTAGCACTGAAACCTGTTAGCATTATTGATCGTCAGCTAACTGATTCAAATGTATCCAATTGCTTCAATATTCTGCAAATGAACAAAGAAAATTAGGAAATCTACAGCTAGCAGGTGCCAGACAAGTTGCTAAGCTAGGCTAACAAATGGCACAGACTGGATATATTATTCCTGTTTTATCTGTTCAGGTTTAAACATTTAGTTTTCATTTGGAGAAACAAAATAAACATTCACGCTAACAAGAAAACACGTAGCCTCAAAACACTTGTATAAAAATATACCATAAAGTGCCATTGTGTCAGTTATCAGGTTTAAGATATAGGCCTACAGGAGCTGTCTTTTAAATTACTGTAAATAATCAATGTTTTGTATTCTGTAAATGTTTTGTATGAATGAAAATTATTCAGGAGCTTTAGCCTTTACCTCACTGAGACACAACAGTTGGAGGCAAAATACAAACAATCAAAGAACGTCTCCAAATGTTTGAATTTAGAGGATGTCTCCAAACGTTGCATTCAAAGGACTTCTCTAAACATTGGCATTAAAATAATGTCTCCAAACTTTAGCATTCAGAGGACGTCTCCAAATGGTCGCATTTGAAGGATGTCTCCAAACGTTTACATTTGGAGGACGTCTCCAAACATTTGCATTCAGAGGACGTCTTCAAATGTTCGCATTCAAAGGACTTTTCTAAACATCAGCATTCGAAGAATATCTCCAAACTTTAGAATTCAGAGGACGTCTCCAAATGCTCGCATTTGGAAGACATCTGCAAACATTTGCATTTGCAGGACATCTCCAAATGTTCACATTCGGAGGACGTCTCCAAATGTTCACCTTTGGAAAACGTCTCCAAATATTGCATTCTAGGGATGTCCCCAAACTTTAGCATTTGGAAGACATCTCTAAACTTCACATTCAGAGGACATCTCTAAACGTTGTCATTCAGAGGATGTCTCCAAACATTGCATTCAGTGGACGACTCCACACGTTCTCATCTGAAGGACATCTCTAAATGTTCTCATTCGGAGGACGTTTCCAAACTTTTTAAGTGTCCTCCCAGGTGTCGCAGAGGCTCACTCTCGTGTTGCAAGAAATTTAGGCATGTTTAGACAATATTTGCATTCAGGATTTTTTTTTCAAAGCAGTCTGAGAGAAGTCTGCAAACTCCTTCTCTATGTTTTGCCCTTGAAAAATAAAAGTGCAATAAATTATGTTTTCTACAAGGTGTAGTCAAATAGTTATTGATTACATTTAAAATAGTTCTTTTTTTTTACTTTTTTTACTCTGGTTTTACTTTTACTAGATTATATGGTTTGAGCCAACACTTGAACTTTGCTGCCTCATGTTGTATTTTAATATGGATCACGTTAATCTTTCACTCAGACACCCATCAGATGAAGGTTCAGGTCTGTTCTGGACTCTAATAATAATGAAATAATCATGTCCAGGATCCAGTCTTATGTAGATCAATCAGGAACTGTACCACTTGGGGACAAGGGTAGTTTTCGATAAACATTATCACAATAAACTCAACAGCCCGAACATAAAAAATACTTGTACATTTTAAAAACAATGTCTGATTTATGCTGAAATTCTTCTCTCAAAGTCTTTTGGTCCTCGGCTTTAAAAAAATACAAACGCAAATATCCACTTCCTTTTGGAAATTAAAACAACATAAATCACACCAGCCTTTTTCCATATAGTCTCTGTGGAATGGGCGGAGCCTACATCCTCCAGGTATCTGTGAAATGGGCAGAACTTGTAATCTCCCAGGTCTACCTAGACTGGGCGGAGCCTATGACTTACCAGAATTTTGAAGACAAATGGCAACCTTCCAGGTTTCTGTAATCTGGGCAAAGCCTGCAACCTAAGTCTCTGTAGACTTAATGGAGCCTGCAATCTCCCAGATCTCTGTAGAGTGGGCGGAGCCAGCCAGCTCTCAGCCCACAGCCTTGTGTTTCCCGCCGCAGCAGTGGCAGGCCATGCCACAGTGGTGACAGGCTCTCAGAGGAGCATAGCAGCACATGCAGGGTGCCACCAAGGACAGACCTATGAGCGCCATCCAGCGCAGGCAGAAGCGCTCGTCGCTGGTGTCGCAGGAGCACGGGTCGGTGTAGTCACCCTCAGGGTCCGACATGCAGTGGTACAGCAGGCTGTCAGCGCACCACATGAAGCTGACCCGTCGGATGCAGGTCTTGATGGGGTCAGGTGCCTCCTGGCAGCGCCCCCTCCCATTGTCCTCCTGGCTGAATATGTCCTGACAGTAAACGCAGCGGAAAGGCGCCAGCTCCTCCGCTTCTCGTTTGCATTTGGGTGGAAGCGGTTGTGGCGACAGCGTCACCACTGACCTGTGTCCGCCGCTCAGCTCCAGGCAGCCGGGTTTACTGCTGTAGCCCTGCTGCACGTCGCAGGTCAGCGGGTATGGGCATGTGTAGTTGTGTTTTGGCAGCCCACTCTTGGTGAAATGCATGCAGGTGTCTGGGTTGTGAACCTGAGCCAAGTGTTCACAGGTTGAGTTGGCATGACGGTAGTCCTCGTAGCCGGTGAGCCAGGTTCGCTCCCGTGGGTTGACATTTACGACTTCCTCTTCCTCCACTGGGAAGCTGACGTGATGAGGAAACATGTGCACCACCTGCAAGGCCCAGAGGACACGTTTATCAGAAATGAGAAAAACCAGCCTGGACACAAAAACATCAACAAACCTCATATGATGGTGCCGAGACGAAGGCTGATGGAACCCGAACACCCTGTTTTCTGTCTTATTTTAAACAGTAAAGTCTGAGATTTTACAGAATCTATGGGGGCAGCCATGACAGTGTTCCCATCATTTCCTGAAAACAAAATTAGCTGATTTTATGAGTGAATCCTGAAATTCTACAGGAGACATTTCAGTCACAGAAAATGCTCAGAACTAGCAGAGTCACATTCAAGGATGACAAGTTTTACTGGAGTCTGTGGTACGAGCATCCAGCAATCACGCCTAATAACTGATTATACAGTTTGACATCAGAGACTAAAACGCCACCAGAGCCAGTCAGCGAGGAAAAGTGTACATGGTAGAAACAGAACATGTGACACTAGAACGTTAATACATCAGAGTCAGAGTCAGAGTCAGAGTTTCTTTATTGTCATTCGCACCTCATGTGGTACATGTGGTGGAGCGAAATTATGTACACAGGGTCCCAGTTACATCCAACAATAAAATGTATAAGAAAAACAGTAATAACATCTAAGATATGAACTAAGAAAAACATCAACTAAATATACTCTAAGCACTCATAACATAAAACATTGAACATCACCACAAACATGAACATGAGTCTGTGAGCAGATGTGCACGCATGAACACATCAACATTGAAACAGATCAGCAGCAACATGAAACAGATCAGCAGCAACATGATATGGTTTTTCACAGTGATTATTCTAGTTAGAGATTCATGAGTCTAACAGCCTCAGGGTAGAAGCTGTTCCTCAGTCTAGTGGTTCTACACTTAATGCTCCTTAACCTCCTTCCTGAGGGGAGTGGGGCAAAAAGTGTGTGTGCTGGGTGGGTGGGGTCCTTCATGATGCAGGTGGCCCTCTTCCTGCATCTGGAGGTGTAGATGTCTGTGATGGTGGGGAGACTGACTCCAACAGATTTCTGTGCAGCCTTCACCACTCTCTGCAAAGCTTTTCTTTCTGCAGCTGTGCAGCCTCCATGCCACACGTTGATGCTGGAGCACAGGAACAGAACATCGCAGCAGCACATCAGGGTTCAAACTCCCTGAGCTTCCATGTGTTTTATGTTTTTCTCAGACTCCCTGAGTTTTTCTTGTCTGGAAATTGTGAAGTTATTGTTCAGGTTTTCCCTGATTTCCAGAGTCCCTGGGAACTCTGCATGATGGAAACAGAGGAGGAAGAAAGCATGCTGGGTAATCTAGAAGACCTACAATCTGCTGAGTCACTGGTTGTCAGTTTGGTGAGGAGGGGCAGCTCTTCAGGCAGAAACACAGAGTAAAAAGTAAGCCTCAGACCAACAGTCTCTGTGTGAAAACTAGAAGTCGGATCAAAGAACTTGTTGACCCGTGAGCAGCAGGAGGTTCTGATGGTACCATAGGACGGCGATGTGACAAGTTAAAAAAGAATCTTCTTTTCTAGTTTGGAAGAGGAAACTCTGAGTTCAGCTACAGTGGGAGTCAATGGGAGTTAGGGTGTTTGACCTCTGACCTTTGAGAGGACACCTGTCCTGCAGCAGAGACACTCTGAGGGGACGGAGACAGAGACTGACATTGAAACGTTCCGAACAGTAATAATGTTCTTTAACGCTCATGAATCAGACTTGTTGAATACAGCTTTTAGCTGATGCTCCAAACTCACCGGGTCCAGGAAGTAGGGGTCTGTCGGTCGGTGCTGCTCATAGAAATGTCCCAGAATGCAATGGTGCCGCTGGGGTTCACAGAAGTGGGCCGGAGCCAGAGCGTGCAAGGTGGGTTCCCTCCTCTGAGACGAGTTGGACGAGCTGTCTGTGGCCGTCTGGACGACAAAAGAGATGAGAGCAGTAGGAATTATGGGTAAAAAATCATCGGTTAACACCCAACCAACCGTTAATCTGGGCCGTGCCACACTCTCACTAAGGATCCAAAACACCTTCATGACATCCTGGAGGGGATAAGACTACTGAAACAGTCATGGGCATGTGCTGACATTTGCACTTGATTATTAAAAACTGTCACTTTGTGAATTATTGAGGAACATAAAGAAAACTTTCAGGGCACAAAAGTGACTTCATTTCTATTTCTGTGGTATTTTTTATGTGGAAGTCAGTATGGGACTGAAGTCTGCTTCTCTGGGTCTTTCAGTCCTGACACAAGCGGTCCAACAACTTGGTTCTGACTGAGTCACCCTTCAGGATTGAAGTTGGACTCTGACCCGATTAAAGCGGTCCGGTGACGCTGAGGTGGAGAAGTTCTGATCAGTCATTATCTTACTTGCAGCTGGACATTAAAACAGAACAGAATTTAGCAACAAAAAGAAAAGAATCTTCTCACCATGAAGACATCGTCGTCCCCAAGCTCCGCCTCATTTTGCAGTGTGGATGAAGACGTGGTCGAGCCTGGAGACCAAAGAGAGACGCCTGAGCTCAACAACCAGTTAGCTTTCAGTCGGGGTTAATAACAATGAATTCACGTACACACGCTAAACTGTTCAGCCAAATATTCTAAAACTGTTTTCCAGGTCCACATTTTCTAAAACCCAACAACACAAAAAGTCCCAAAAAAAGTGTCCTGATGGCGTCTTCGTTCAGAACCTGGACCTCCATATTTGTTGGACTTCTCTGCAGGTTTGGACCCATGAGCTCCAACCATCAGTCATCTTTGGGATGGGTGCCTCAGGTGAAAGTTTCCTGGTTTGAATCATGTCTCACCGGATTGTCTTTAAACGTCTCATGGAAAGTTCCACCTCTTTGGGGCGAATCATCGCCTGACTTGTATCGCTGTGACAACGTTACCCATAATTCTCATCGGATAACCCTACCCCTAATAAATATATAGCATTAGCTTCAGAGCTAATAACGTTAGCTTCAGAGCTAATCAATTAAACATCAGCCCCTTTTAGTTAACTTTATTGTCACGTTATATCTTTTCCCACAACCCGAAAAGGAAGAAGCAGGTAAAGATAATGGATGGATGTTATATCTTTTCAGCCTTGACTCCTCTTGTTTTAGTCTCCACTACAACTAATGTACGTCATCGCCCTAGAATGCATTGCCCCGGTAAAATAATGGTGACAACCTTAAATTAAAAATGTAACTAACTTGTTTTTAAGTAATCAGTGAAATGAGTTTGATGTGTTACAAACAACAACTTTTAGCAGAATGGAGGAATAACAACATTTTAAGGCCAATGTGAGCAGGTAGTTGGAGATCCCTTTAATCCACACCTGATGACAGGTGAGGGTTGGAAAATAGACGGACCAGTAAATCTAGATCTTTGTATTTTTCACCAGCGTGGACCAGAGCAACACTCTCATTACTGAGGACAAGGTAACGATCAGTCGCTTGGCTCTTAAAGGACATTAATACACAAGCTGCTCCTTCAGCTGTTGCATCAAGACGTTATAAGAAACCTGGGTGTCCTGAGGACCGGTTCTTCTCTGATCGTTTGTCTCTCAGGCATGTCTCAGGTTGTACCTCATTAGGATGGACACCATAGTAATCTACTACAGGGGGTCTCGAAGATGCCATGGACCCATGTCCCTCCACTCTTCATTGAGCTCAAGTGGCCCAGCGGCTGCCTGATCCAGATCCAAGTCCTTCATTCTGACAACAGCTAAACATGGGCCGCAGAGTTCCTCTAAGGAACAAAGTCTGGTTCGGCATTCCCTTAGGACATGGGAGTCTCAGTCCAGACTGTCCTCTTCTGTGGCTTCATGAAGGTGGAAAGAGATTCCAAAGTCTATCAGAGCAGGGAGTCCCTCTCTACCTTCAGAGAAGACGCCCAACACACCAAACCCCCATTTGGCACTTCTGGACCGTTTCTACTGGTTCCTGACTGAACTGGAGCTTCTTAGTTTTGACCCGGACATCTCTGTTAAAGGACAAAATGTAAATGGAAGGTTTAGTGTGGACACAGTCTGGGGACGTTACCTTCTGTCAGGTCCTCCAGAGCCTTCCTCACTCCACGGTCGAAGGCTCGAGCATCCGACGTACTCTGGAAGGTCAAACCATACTTCCTGTTGTCCACCTTCCAGTGGTGGAATGTGGGCGTTGCCTTTGTGTAGACCAGGTCCTTTTTCAAGATGCACTCCAGGATCACCTGAAGATTCAACCAAACCGCATGTTGGACAGAAGATATCATCAGTCACTGCAGGTCTCACCTGTCTGTCTCACCTGTCCGACTCACCTGGTGGTCTCTGAGGCGTTCTCCATGAATCAGAAAGGTGTTGCGTCCCAGCAGGTTGCTAGGCAACAGTCTGCACACGCCAACTCTGCTCAGGCAGCCATCCAGCGCCAGCCAGCCGCCACTCGACTCGTCTCGGGTCATCACCACCGCTTTGACTCGCACCATGAAGCTGTCACTGCAGCCGAGACAGAACCCGGTTCTGTTAGCAGCAGGTTCTGGTTCCTAAACTACACTTCTGGATATTATTGGGTCTCAAAAAAAAAAGTCCACTCTCTGGTTCTTGGGATTTACGATGCATTCACTGACCCTCTGAAATGAAAACTTTCATCAGCAGATTAAAGTTCAGTTCAGAGAGAAATGAGTCAATAAGCAGAACTTTGATGTTTTAAATCCTGACCCAGAATCCAAACATCCAGTTTTCATTCCAAGCAAAAAAAAAACCTTAAGGTCCAATTTTCCATTTCACATTGAATGTAACAGCTTTACAGAAAATGGATGTCTAAAATCAGAACCGGATCTGGTTCTGCTGTAAGGCACTCATCGTAGAGCTGAACCTCCTATAGGTCAGTAATCAGAACCAAAACTGAGCCCTAGTCAGAAACCAGGACGAAGAGTAGCTCCTGTTGAAGTCTTCCAGCAGACCCTGAGCAGTCTGGACCCCAGACCGGCTGAAGGGGGTTCAGAGCAAGCCCCCAGTTCACCACCAACCTGTTCACATTTCCAACTGGTTCTCCTCACTCACCAAGCAGACCCTGGTATTTGGTAGCTTCATATTCCAAAACCTGGTACTCCTAAACTTGGGTTTCCTGATCTACCCCTTAATTCTGCTGCTGCTATAAGCTTAGACTGCTGGAGGACAAACTGTCCACATGTTCTCAGTCTGCTGCTGTCTTTAATTCATGCTACTGTTCCTGTTTATAATTTTTTTAATTTCTATCATGAGCATGTTTTTCTATACAACTGGACAGTAGGAACGACACCTGGACCATTGGCACTACTCCTGGACCACAGAACCTATAGTTGACCATAGGAACTACAACTGTACCACAGAAAATACATCTGGAACACAGAACCTACACCTATAGAATATGGACCATAGAAACAACACCTGGACCATACTACTCCTGAACCACAGAACATAAAGATGGGCCATAGGAACTACACCTAAACTATAGGAACAACTCCTGCACGACAGAATATACCTGTACCATACAAACCCCGCATGGTCCATAGGAACTACATCTAGACCTACACCTGGACCACATACCTGGACCATAGGAACTACACACAAATCT